TAATTGTTCTCATACTCTGATGGTCCCTGTATACGACATGGGTTGCAATCAATTGCACCCATCACACCAGGAAACCCAGCAATTCCAAAAAAACCATCTCTTATCTCTCTCCTCTCACTATCGCTTGGCCAGCAAATGTATGCTGGGCCAATTCTACACAATGCATCAGAAACATCTCTTACTGTCCTTGAAACTGTAGATATATCATATCCTAGAGCATCACCCACAACTCTCAGGTGACTGCCGCTGGCAAAATAGCGTAAAGCTATTTGAACCTGTGTTTGTACACTCAATGCTCTATTTCTCTGTGTATCCCGACGTAAATAAGGATCAAGAATCTTTGATATATAATCAATGCCTTCAGGAGAGAAACGGAACCGTTGCATAATTTCATCTTCCGTATAATCATACGATTTAAAGCGAAAAACTCGCTTTTTCCTCTGGTTCACATTGTATAGAAGGTCAAAGGCAGCCATATTTAACCACTGGTTAAGCGCTTTATCCGGTGGTCATAGGACTGGTTAAAGTTAACCACTGGATAAGGCATTTTATCCGTTGGATAAGTTTTGAGCAACAGAATTTATCCAACGGACAAAATTTAACCAGCGGATAATGAATTTAACCACTGGTTAACACTAACCAATGTTTTGAACAACCCGGTCCAGGAGGATAAATGATTACCTTGGTTATGATACAGTTTATCTGAAAGATGAATTTAGACCAAAGATCAGTATCAGCACTTACCTTCCTTTAAAACAATTGTATCAATGGTCTACATGCATCTTTCAAAAACCGTTGTTGACACTTGTTGATTGTTTTTTAAAGGACATATATTTCCAAAGGATTACATAAATAAAAATATCTTAAGGTACTCTATTATTTTGCAAACACATTTTGTTAAAACTAGCAATATCAATATTTACTTTTTAAGAAGAATAATCACTTATAAATGAGAGATAATACAAAAAAAGTGGATACGTGATAAGTTGATACTGACCTCTTGATTCTGTTTATGTCTTGAAATTTGTTAGATTTAAACTCTATGCATTGTTATGGTTTTGAACATGTTATTAGCAAGCATGGATGTTTAATAACTTGCATGACTTTGACCTTAACCCAAAGAAACCATGTATAATTCAAGATATTTAGAGAAGATCTTATGAATAAAAGATAAATATCTAAGATATTGACCTCTTCCAAGGTGGGTTATACTGTAACATACTGCAAGTTATGTAGTATTACTAACAGTTGTGTCCACATTACCTCTCAATGTGCGATTACTGGATTTTCCGCCAAGCTGATGACCACTTAATTTAGTTGTTTTCAAGATATAACCCCCAAAAAAATAATCATTGTTGATCTTTAATTGTACATTAAAATACATTTCAAGGGTGTGTCCAACATGTTAAGCATGAGTATGGCAGGCTGTTAACAAGGGAGTCAAAACATTATGATTTTAAATGAAATTATGGTGTTCTGGTCGATTTGTGCCTGGAAATAATTTTTAAAATCTAGACAGAGAGTGATCCTCAGAAGCATTACTCACCACAAAATTGCATGAAAATTGCAGAGTCTGTACATGAGGGATAATGAAATATGAAACATCCCTGATGTACTTTAGCACCGTCTTCAGCGATAACATAAAAACTTATACTTAAAACACAATACATATTTATCATGTTTCACTTAAGCAAATTACAAAGAGTTTAAAATAGGCCGTTATGATGTCCGTTTAATGTCTATAGGAAATGACGTTAAATGTAGGTGTTGTAAAATGAGTATCGCTGAAATTTCATTAAAATATGTTCAACTTGGTGTTTTGATGATATGTCTTTCATACTTCTATTTCATTGATTTGTTCAAAACTTAATCTTTAATTTGAAATATTTTCTAAATGAACAGTAATAAATCATTGATACAGTAAGGCGTTTCATTCCATGTTTGACATGGATTCGTACCCAAGTCAAATAATATAAGTAATGTGCCGAAGAAATACGCAGAAAACAAAATGAAACAAAAACATTCTGATTTTTCAACTTTAAGACTGTATCCTGATTACAAAAGTTTTTTTAATGTTAAGACTTTGGTAGAAAAATACTGTTGAAAGAAAAAAGGTTCATAACAGGAAAAAAAACCAACTTATTTACAACGTTTGAACAAAGATATACGCCTTAGATATGTTTAAAGCTTCCTTTTTGTTTTCATGTAAACAACCCATTTCTTAAGCATTATCTAGATCATGATCATTAAAACTCAAAACTACTAAAAGAATTTAGACTAAAGAACAGTATTATCAGTTGACTTTTAACTTTAAAGCTATTGTATACATTATTCACATACATTTTTCTACAGTAATATATCTTCCTTCTGTATTGTCTTTACTCACAAATATCTTAACAAATGACACAGATTAAAACTTCTTAAGATATTCCATCCATATACAATAGAGAAAAGTGGACTCCCTATGGAACGCCAAAACGACAAAATTGTAAATGTTGCAGGCTCGGTTTGAAAGAGCATTTTCATGGACGACACAAGTGTGCAAACCTGGATAGAATGTACAATATTATATGATTTATAATATTAAGGAGTTTTGACAAATTATATTTCCATAAATTATTCATTGCGAACCAATTATAAAGGTGCAAATTGACGAACGTCATCATTTGTATTAATATGTTTGCGCTCTACAAAACCTTTTGCAAATTTACTGACATCTTTTAAATCTGTAAGAAGTAAAAATGTTATTCAATATTAAAAAGAAATCTGTATCATAGTAAAGTCTTTAGATAAAATTTTAATAATAATAACCTTTTAGATACTGTATTTCGGAAACTTTTGCGGATACAAGTTCGCGCTTTCGTGCAATCATAGGTACCGTGAATTTGGCGAATATTTAGTTGAACATAATTATATAACTAGTAAATGTATAACAAGGACTTTTCTAAATTTTCAAGACAAGAGTACAACATATTATACTTATAAAAGCGTTCAGAACACATTGAAAACGTTCAAGTTTTAAATTTTATATATAAATAGTCAATGTGTATAAGATTATCAACCATTTTCATATACAAAAAAATGAAAGTACATACGCACCACGTTTGAGTATACAATGTTTATTATACTAAGGAAATATCCCCTGTTTAAGTTAACAATCTTTTTGTATGTCGTCGCCTTAGTGCAACAGCATGTAAACTCCTATTAGATTAAAAAAGACTTAACCCGCTAGTGCACTAAGGTAACGAAATTGTGGCAACCTCTTAATTAAACCACACCTTTACTGAAAGAGACCAAATATATTTTCTGAAACTGAAACTGGTTTATTTGGTTAAACGCCTATTATTTACAATTAAACATGTATTCAATGGCGTTTTACAATAAAATACAATTTAAACTAAAATCCCATAATGATACTGTTTTAACATTAATTGCAGCGTCAAAAAATGCTAAAATACAAATAATAAAAATGATACAGACGATTTAAACAAAAAGAATTATTGCCTAAAATATACCGTAGAATATCAGAGACCCAGCACATAATACAAAGAGCATAAAAACGAATAAAAATAACTAAAACATATAAAAATATAGTTGTTTCTTACACAGTCATTAAAAAAATCAATACATGTATTTCTGGTAAAACACATAAGTTATGTAAAAATATCAGACTAAAACGCAGAAGTTACTTGAATTTTACAATAGCAATTGTGCTAGATTATTGCTTAGCAAATTGTTCTGAATCACCGTAGTTGTTAAAGCCAAAAATTAAATTAAAACAATGAGTAGAAGTTATTGAAAAAGTGGGTTTTTAGTTTATGTTTAAACACATCTAGAGACTGAGACTGTCTAATATCTATTGGTAATTGGTTCCATAATTTCGGTCCCGCCGTACCAAAACTTCTGTCACTGAATGTTTTTCTTTTATTAAAAGGCACTTCGTAAACTCTGTCTACTAAATCAGCTGATCTGAGCCCTTGTCGCTTTGGAGCCTGCCGGCTTAAAAGTTCAGCCAGGTAAAGCGGTGCGCTGCCTATAGAGCATTGGTACATGAATGTTAGAATTTTCTGATTTATTCTTGCTTTAATAGGTAACCAATGCAAATCGTACAATGCCTGTTTAGAACTATCAAATTTCCGACGTTTTAAAACCAACTTTGCACACATGTTTTGTATACTTTGGAGTTTGTAAATGTCTTTATCGGGAATACCATACAAAATCACATTGCAGTAATCAAGATGTGAGATCACTAGACTTAAGATAAGAGTTTCTGTTGCTTCTTTGGTAAGATAGTTGCGTATATTCTTAATTCTAAAAAAGTTGAGCATGGCTGTTCTACATTTATTTTTTACATGTTCTTTAAGGTTTAATGTTTCATCGAGATAGGCTCCTAAGTAACGAATACATTTTACGCGACTGACTTTGTCACCGGTGATGTCAATTTCAGTTGTCGGACATTTGTAAAGTTGCTGTTTGCTTCCAAAAATGATAAACTCGGTTTTCGAAGTGTTCATTTTCAGCTTATTCTGGTTCATCCAGTCGTTTATGGTGATTGCACAATTTTCGATGTCTTTGATTGCTTAAGTTTCACTGTTTTGAGTTGCGGGCCTGAACGTTTTGTGAGCAATGTGGTCATATGCGAACCCATAGACGGAAATTGAGGGCGGTATGACGTCAAAAAGTGTCCCTGCATATGCAAGATATAGCCATGATCCTAGGCAGCTTCCCTGTGGCACACTGCATTCCAACGGATATTTTCTATATTCATTGAACAGCATTTATTAAAATTACAATACTTTACGGTGTGAACAGAAATTATTACATCAAGGCGCTTCCATACTACAATATATACGTATGTTATATTCATGTAAAACCAAGCCCAACATCATACAACCCAAGCGTTTGCAAGGAAAGGTTTACCATAATTTGTTTTGATTTCAATTCCAAAAGAAAATGTTTTTACTAAAAAAAATTCAAGGATTTTATCTTTGGGTTTTATTTATAATTTCTCTGAGTGAAAATTCATTGGGTGTTCTTTATGATATCAAGCCTGTTGGCAACGCTTCAAGTTTGGACTATGAACATACCTTGGTGCAGATTTTGTTGGAAGTGAAGACAGAAGTGTCATTGCTGACGAAAGAAATAAAGGAACTTAAGGAGACAAAAATGGGTAAGTATCAACTCATTTCATGTGCTTTTCCATTTATTAGTCCCGTTCTTTGTTAAGACAAGAATATGCCCATTCAAAAAGCACATTTGAAACAGAAAACTAAAAGAAAGTTTAAACACTATCATACTTTCTGAGTAACATCCAACATGCACTTTCACTAAAAATGTTGATGTATATTATAGGTTATCAAGTTAACACACAGATAAACAGAGTACTGTTGAAAGTGAATAAGGAGATCATATTAGGAATGTAAAATAAGTTATTTCCATTTTACATTACGTAAACCATAACCATAACAGTACGAACGTTAACATAACTTGTGGTGTTAGCAATCCAAAAGCACCAATTTTTATATCAGCAAACATTTTTATTCTTTTTGCGCCATTTAATGTACATGAACAAACCATAACATTTTGCTCATAATTAAAATGTATATAAAATTCACCTTTGCAATTAAACTGAGAGTTGAAGGAAGAGCTATGTCCCCTCTCGATTTTAAATTCCGAATATTAATAATGGTTTACGGATTGTTTTGTATAGGTCAATACTTCTCATCACAAATCAATGAAATACGCTTTAAACTTAAAGAATAATACCTATACGCCACTAATGAATTCCTTAAATAAATGTATGAGGCAATAACACTCATAATTGACCGCCATAATACATGTAATAGACTCGGATTCCTTTTAGGGATTCTTTTTCAGAATATATTTTTCAAAATGTATCAAGGGAATTCCCTTCAAATGAGTACTTGTCAGTAAAGTACTTATCAGTCAATAAAAACAAAAGATGATTTACATTACTGTTATGTACCCCTTTACAAATTACAAACATTCACAAAGCGATTTAAGTTTTCATTAAAGTCGCAAAGGAAACGATGTTGTTACTTGGAAGGCTATGGCATTATAACAACGACATCAATCTATTGCCAAACCATATGTTCCCGTCAAATGACAAATATTTCTAATACTTTGACATTTAATGAATAAACGGTCTATTTGTGATTTGTTTTGCACCAAGCGCTGTTATATCGATACCTTTGTTAAAACATGCATCAATTAAAATTAAAAAAAAATATTTTCCACATGAATTCAATAAATTTAATAACTTACTTTTTCTGGCACTATAGAGGGACTATCCGGTTTAAATTTTTCTTTCAATATTGATAATTTAAGAGTAGTTGCAAAATAATGTGCATCATATTCTGATTTAAAATGTAGTTATACACCTGTTAGTAAATAAAGTCCTTCATTTTTGGTTTGAGATAAGAATTCTAGTTTTTTTTAATTTGTTATGTCATATCATTTTCCATTTTTGTTAGATGAAAACGGCAGCGTTTCTACAACAAATATTGTGAAGACTTTGCTTGAATTGAAGAATGGTATGACAGCACAGGCAAAAGAAATTGATGAACTTAAACGTAGCGGTATGTAAACAGCAAAGTAATGATAAATGGAACGTTATCAAACATGATAATTTTAGATAATGAAACATATCAAACAGTAAAAATATGAATTATCGAACATAAAAAATTAAATCTCATTTTAATATGTATTTTTCAAATGTAAGCGGCAGATTTGTTTGTTTTAACTGTGTTTTTTTAAGTGCAATAATGCATGCAATATCATATTCATGATACAGTCAACAAACAAGACAAATACATGTAAACTTTTTATTATGTTTCATTTAATTAAAATTTTGTTTCTTTTTCTTTCTTTTCTAAAAAATGTATTGCAAGTCAAAATTGAAAATGTTGATGTTGAATGAAAATTACCGTACATTTTTGTAGTATTTTGCAGAACTGAGAAAAGATATATGCAATTTAATGTCCTAATTGTTATGATATATCCAATATATTGGTCATAATGAAAATTCGTGTTTTTTTCTTCTAATTTTATTATGTTTAATTCTGAGACTAAGAGGCTGTATCAATTAAGTTGAAACCTAAACAACCGTGACTCTTAATAAGATAATGTTACATGAGATTCACAAATACTAAAAATTTATGCTATTCCGTAGGTCATAAATAGAATGACTTGGTAAATATGTCTATAGGTGAAACTCTAAAAAATGATTATCAAAAAGTGATAATAAATCTTTATGAGATTGAGAAAAGTTATTCTTTTCTTAACTTGTTTAGATTACACGCCGCAATTCATGAAATAGCGAACGTGTCACATTCAAGGTTTCATGATAAAAGTTGAGTGTTTCTAAATTCAAAGTTTCACATTTTTTATGTTCAAATGTCAAATTATTTTAGTAGCTTGTGCTAGGAGCGTTTTTTTTTTAAATAGTACATTTCTGTTTAAATAATTATAATTGTTTAAAACCTATGTTCAATGAACATTTATTTTTTTAATTGTAGTTTAAAATTAGTTTGTTACTGTCAACAGTAAGAAAAGAAAAACAATAAAAAATGCCTATTTCAGACCGTAAAATAGTAGCATTTATGGCACAGCTGACTAAACACATGGTGAATCCACCACAACACACGGTCGTTGTATTTGATTCGGTTTTAACAAATGTTGGGGGCGCTTACAAATCGAGTTCTGGAGTTTTCCTTGCACCTGTTAACGGAACATACACGATACATCTTGTTGCAAGTTCAACACCAAAGACATCATCTGAATATGTAAGTTATATTTATGTTATCAAAATCTTGTGACAAACAATTCTACTTACATAAACGTATAATAATTCGTAACATAATTTTTAGCTGAATTTGACTTCCGATGTTATTTAAGGTATAAGATTTGAATCACGCTCATAAAGTACTGTTTGTTTGTTGGTGTTTGGTTTGTGTTGTTTTTGTTACCATGTTTCGAAAAATCTCTATTACGTTCAATATTTTACGTTCTCTTCTTCCAGCTTCACTTGTACATCATGCACAACATGCTGAAAGTTGGTTACATTTTCTTGGACCAAAATCCTGGCCGTGCGTTAATACGATCCACGTCTATTGTCATACAACTGCGTGCCGGGGACACATTGTTTGTTAAAATTGGAAATCCAAACCCGAGAGGAACGCTCTACGGTTCTAACTTTCATACAGTCTTCAGTGGTTTTCTGATCAATTGACTTTTTCTTTCAAAGTAAACATTCTAGAAATATTGTCAAATTGAAATTCATTTGTATTTCCTTCTAATGTTACAATGCTATAATTAAATTGTATTTTCATCAGTTCATAATGTTAACATAACATATCCACTAAACAATCCGAATTTTTTTTATACAAAAATCACCGGCTGATATACTAGTCTAACAAACATCTCTGCTTTTTAATCAATTTATCAATTTGTCTTGGCTTATTGGAAATATTCCCTTGAAAAAACAAATATACGTGCATGCACACTGATTTAAAACTGATTTCAAAATTATATAAAGCAAAAGGTATCTATGACTATATAAAATTTATAACTACGTACAAAATTCATGAAAATAATTTAAAATAAACCAGTATTTTCACAATTTAACAATGTTTACATTTCTGTTGCACATTATGATTAAAAGCGCCATAAAATCCCTTGTTTTACAACACAGGAGTCATCGAATCTATATTTATAAATTCTCAGCTTAAAAAAGAAAGCTTTTAAACCAGATTTACATAGCTAAACTGATAATATTCGCTTTAGAACAAAAGCATATACATGTGTATGTATGTACATTTCCACTGATTAATTTTTCTATTTCAAGATTTTACAAAGCATTAAATATATAATCTACAACTATATACTGTAAATTCATAAAGCTTTTAAAATATTATTTTATAATGAACAGCCAAAATAAAGTCAAGAAAAGCATATTGTGCAATAAAAGTCCTTTGTTGCTTATAAAATGGCCTTTGCCACGGGAATAAATGCAAATCAGCACTGTCATTACAGTAACTACCACATTTATCTTTTGCGGGGTTTAAAATGGAAAAGTATTAAACATAATTTATGTTCGTGCCGTATACTGGTCGGAGACCATCAACCGGACACTTTTGGAACAATTTCCGTACAGATTTCATAATTTTTAACCTAGAGACCAAAAAGTTCTCTTCCTAACTGATAAACTAGTTTGTTTATTTCTGATTGTATTGACACTTATATCTGAGGCTCGACAAGGAGGGTATCAAAATTACCTAAATTGTCTACACTACAGTACCATGTGTCCGGACAGATATGTACATGATGTGATTTAATTCAGATAAAAGCCTGGGTGTTTTGATTTTTGATTTGTAACATGATATACAATATGTCAGCAACAAATGCTGAAGGTTTGGATATTCTATTATTCACTCTGCAAATGATTATAGCTGGTATATGAGGTCAGGCATTGCTCTCTTGACCCCCGAATTTCAACGTTAACATTCTTGAAATAGACATTAAAATATAACCATTTACGGAGGTTGAAATAAATTCATTTACTTAATTTTAAAAGAAACATGCACTTATTGTTGTTAAAAAATTGACTGACAACCACTGAACAAAGAAAATACTAAATTAAGCATTTACGGGGCCGTCCGGGTTTAGTGTTTGTCCGGTTTTGGTGGTACCCCACCAGTACATATAAATGCAAATATAAAAATGTGTATATAAATAATTATATTAATGAATATTGAATTGTTTATAAAGTAATGCACATGAACATTGAGATGTACGTAACATCTATTGCATTTGTAAAGTTTTTTATAACACGTAGTTTGAATATAAATAACATTTTATAAACGCATATACCATTGTAAGGCATACACAGCTTAAAATAATATTACAACGTTTAAAAGTATAAGGTTAGACCTGTTGACATCTTCGGATCCAATCTTTGTAACTGAAGGACATTTTTCCGGCGAATATTCTTCAAGAATAGGTTCTTTATCACATGAATAGAGTGCAGCATAACATTTCATTATACGAGCATATTTGGTGATTCATTCATTTTCTTTGTCAAATCGAGCCCAATCGTCAATAGTGCCTAAAATAATAAAAAAACACTTTTAAACTGCGCGTAAACAGAATAAAGTGCTTTTTCATACCGGCATGTTGGAATAACTCTTTCATAAAATTCAATTATTTTGAATTTGCAAGCAAGAGTTTCTTTCTTAGTGGACTTCCTCACATAAACAATGTTTAGCTTAGAGTGAGGCTCGAGCCTACATTGATGAGTGGCCCTTCACAAAAATTGAAAAATTGAAAAATCTTAATCAAGTTCAACATGTATTTAACAGTAAATTCAAAAAGCTTTTGAAATATTGTATCATAATGAACAGCCAAAATAAAGACTAGAATATTATATTATGCTACATAAGTCTTTTGTTGCTCATAAATTGGCTTTTGCTACGGATTTAACTTGTTCAAATTCAGTTTTTTGTTTTCACATAACGTGAATTTGTTTGTATAGTTAAGTAAAATGGGTCTTACTTTGTTAAAAATGGGTGTTACTTTTAAATAATTTTATGACATGCAGATGTCTCAAGAACATTTAGAACATTGTAAAAAATGGACCCTATTTATAATGATGGGACGTTAAAATATGTGTATGCTAGCACACTAAAAGCACGTGGAACTTTTCCCTGGCGGGATCATTAACAAGATATTATTAATATATTTAAGTTTTACTTGAAATCGATTTGAAATTGTTGCAATGAATGTTGCACATAAAACAAGCGTTAACGTTGTCCGAATTCTGTGTTGTGTGATATTCTGTGTCTTCATCCAGTACAAACCTGGAGGTCTTTTAAAAGGCCGAGTCTCAAAACGTATTGTTAAATTTGTTTAACCAACATCATAAGCCGATTCAATTGTACAGAATCATAGTTAATACAATCAAGTCAGTAAATCAACTGCAATTGAAGAGGAAAGTAATGCCGTCGTCCTTAAATAAAGGCACCAGAATTACGTTATTTTAAACTGTGACATTGACCGAATTGTAAACACAACACAATCCAGTTTGACAGTTAAGTATAAATTGATCCAAACTTGATAAAAAAAAAATTTGAATGATAGAGTGAAACATTTTGTCTTTCTATTTCTTTTGTTTAATATGTATATTTTTAGCAAAGTAGTGTGCTAAATAGAACAGCGTTATACGGAAATCGGCAGCGGAAGTAATCTTCGCTTAAATGTTATCTACTGAATCAAATAAAACCTGTGGCAAGATGTTATTTTAGCATCATATGAAAATAAACATGATAAAAACGAAAACTATCAATAAAATGTGTTATATTTGCTGCTTTAAAGGGGTTTTGTAAATTATCTTATCTGAGGGTGAAAAAGTAACAGTTTCATATACATGTAGCCCCTTACCGGTGTTTTCTTTCTTCTTTGTGTATTGACAAAATCACAAGAATATAAACAGTTGATTTACATGACTGATTTATAGTTTTTTGATTCATTTTAAAAAAAACTTTTTATTAGACTAAAATGATTTCAAACACTTACAGCACATAGAAACTGCTTAATTTTAATGACCATATTGTTCAAAATATTTTTATTCAGGAATGTATCAATTTATACTTTGCTGGTGTAATACTTAATTATCATTATCAAACAATCGTTTTTAAAACATTGTCTAGCATAGTGTTCTTAGCAGCTCACTGAAAACGCTAAAGTGAGCTATACTGAAACTATCGACCAACGCACAGAATTAAGGGTTTTTAAGTAAGTTAACATTTTAGGGAAAATTTCCGGACTTGAAACGTAACGGCGATTTTAAACAGTTATAAGGGAAGTTGATCTGACCTTGATCATATTGTATTATCGAAGACATTCTTGATTATTAAAAGATATTTTATGTATGTCACTGAATTAAAAAAAAACGAAGCCAGTATGTAATTTTAACAAGATCATCAAGGAAAGGCGGCGTTAAATGAATGCAACCTCTACACAACCCACAGGACCCAGCAAGACAGGACACCGGAAAGGAGCACAGCAGACACCAGGGCACAAGGCATAGCACGATTTTCTACAAAAAAGGCTGATGATAAACCGTAGCGTATTACTTCGTCTTGTTTTTTCATATATTTCCCATTTGTTGGCAGTTGGCTACTACAAGGCATGTTATTTACATGCCAATAAATGAAATGAACTGAAATTAACACTACAAATGAATATAATCTCTCATTTCCATGTTTTTAAGCAATGGATGACATCAAATTGCTGATGTTGGCCTTTATTTATGTATAAAGGGAGGATCGTGTATTCCCCTTTTTTAAGCAAAATAGATTAAACAAAACTGAAGAGATTTCTCTTCCTATTATCTCAAAGAAGGTCCGCACATACCGTCGCCTAACTCTTAAAGTGTCCTATGTCCATTTTTGCAAAATTTGAGATAAATGTACCATTCTTTTTACCTTACATTGCTCTATCTTTTAAGCTTTGGGTTCAAGGTTATGATGACCTAGAAACGGAGTTATCGAGTATGAACTTTGCTCTATGTCCACATTTCGCATGATTGTTTTATCCTTATAGTAGGGTATGTACGTTACTTAGGACAATTTTATAGTGAAACCTGAAATAAGCCAATCAAAACACAAACTGATGGTCAGGTGACCTTGGTCGTTTTCGCAATGATAGTGCGCTAAGTCAAAACTTCCGGTAGAGAATTTTCTTGTCAATGTTTTTTGTAATGCCATTGATTGTGTTTCCAAGCAAGTTAAAGTAATAATATGTGAGTATATTAAACTAAAATCTCTGAACGTGTAACTGCAATTTGCTTTTTTAATGTCGAATGCACTGTAATCTCAGAATTTTAAGAAGTTTTGCAAAACCTAGTAAATATAATTCGGATAAACAATATTTCGGATACATAAATTAGTAAATTAAAGTTAAACTTTACCTTTTCATTTTTATCGTGAGCTATGCTAAAATCATTGATATTATAATCTACTTAAATTTAAATATCATTATAGGTTAACCTCGTGGTGTTGCCCGACGGCGTCCTTATACACATTTTGGGCTATATCGGCATTCAAGATCTGTTGACAAAAGTGAACAAAGTTTGTAGAAAATTTAACGATTTGATAAGCAATTGTCAAGACTTTGGTGTGATTTTGAGATTGATTATCCTATTGTGTCACTGCTCTCTGGACAAAGTTGGAT